ACGAGGAAGATGGCGACTTCAAAGAAACATGGTCCAAATGCAGGAAAGGCATACCGGTGGAGGATTACTACCTCAACGACGGGTATCTCTTTAAAGGTAATCAATTATGTATTCCTAACTCTTCTCTACGTGAACAATTGATTAGAGACTTACATGGAGGAGGCCTAAGTGGGCATCTTGGTCGAGACAAGACCGTCGCTAGCGTAATGGAGCGATACCATTGGCCGCGTTTGAGGCATGACGTTAGCACCATTGTCCGAAAATGTTACACTTGTCAAGTCGCCAAGGGCCAAAGTCAAAACACCGGCCTTTACTTACTTCTACCGGTTCCTAAAGATATATGGCAAGACTTATCCATGGATTTCGTCCTTGGATTACCCCGCACTCAAAGAGGAGCCGATTCGATCTTTGTCGTTGTGGATCATTTCTCGAAGATAACACACTTCATTGCTTGCAAGAAAACCGCCGATGCAAGCGACATCGCCAAGTTGTTCTTCAAAGAAATTGTTCGCCTTCACGGAGTTCCCAAGAAAATCATTTTCGACCGCGACATAAAGTTGTTAAGCCACTTTTGGATTACATTGTGGAGAATGTTCGGAACAGCACTTAACAAAAGTAGCACTGCCCATCCACAATCCGACGGTCAGACTGAGGTAACGAATCGCACTTTGGGAAATATGCTCCGAAGCATCTGTGGAGACAAACCCAAACAAGGGGACCTTGCTCTCCCACAGATTGAATTCGCTTATAACAACGTAACCCACTCGGCGACCGGTTGCTCACCATTCTCTTTGGTTTACACTTCGGTTCCCAAACACGTCGTTGACTTGATCAAACTTCCACGACTCCCGGGAACAAGCATTGCAGCGGAGAATATGGCAAAAGATGCACACGCAGTCAAAGAGAACGTGAAAGCTCGTCTTGAAGCGGTTGGAATGAAGAACAAAGAGTTAGTCGACAAACACCAACGAGAGAAGATCTTTCAAGAAGGTGACGATGTGATGGTATTTCTCCGGAAAGAGCGCTTCCCTGTTGGCACTTACAGAAAGCTCCAACCAAAGAAGTATGGCCCATTAAAGATCACCAGTAAGATTAACGACAACGCCTATGTCGTCGCCCTCCCTAACTCTCTCCACATCTCCAACACCTTCAATGTGGCCGATCTGTACTCGTACCACGAAGACGATCCTATCTTAGATGAGAACGTAGAGTCGAGTTGTTCAGAAGTGGAGGAGACTGATGTAGATCAGTTAGCTCGAAAGATCGACGAGCATCAAGACCAAGCAAAGCCACTACAGCGAGCTGTGCCTTGACCCACGCCGGCTGAACCTTTGATTATTTTCAGATTTATTTCATTTTCTTTGCTTATAATTATTTAGTAATTATCTAGCTACCATAATTATCTAGCTACCATAGTTATTAGTTTCCTAGATTAACTATGTTTCTTAGCCTATTTAAACAAGCCTTAGCCTTGTTAGTTATTCATTCAATTATTAATTCAATAAAACTTAGCTTTTTTTTCTAGAATTCTTACAAATTCATGTTATTTTCCTAAACCCTACGCTTATAAGGTTTAATCATTTTTCTGGGTTCCGATGATTGTCAACCCTTCCGCGTTTCCTACTGCGTCATAGTCAAATCCAATAACCTTCGTTTGTATGCCTCAATCGTTGTTCGAATGTCACAATTGAAATAATTGTGACATTTGAGTTTGATGTTGATCGTTTCTTAGCTGAAACAATTGAAATAATTCCTGATAGGTTCTCCTGGCTTTTGGGTGGTATAGTACAGGTAGCTAGTCTGTTTTTCCATTTTGCAACTACTCACAAATTGCTAAAAAACTGGTTAATTAGATTTGCAAAGGAATTAATAGACTTGGGTTTAAGGTTGATTAACCATTGTAGAGTTGCGCTAGTGAGAGTTGCACTAGTGAGAGTTGCACCAAAACTCTTGCACATGCATACTTCTTTGTAATGTTGACGTATAGAAACGATCCGCATTAATTGTTTATAGTCTGCGACATGTACTTGGGGGTAAATATAGGGATATTATATTTTTTGGGGACGTCGACCAGAGCAATGTGGTCGGTGAAAGGAGAGGCTTGAAAACCAGTAGGTGGCTCGACGTCGACATGTATTGCTGCTCCAGGTAGTTTGGATAGCAAAGACAACATTCTTTCATTTTGTTCTTCGAGCAGCTTAAGTCGTCGAGCAATAGGGTCGTCGAAGATATGATTGGGGTTAGGCATGAGAATAGACGTTACAGGTGGAATAACACATACCAACTGTAACAACCCTCACATCCCAACTACATATAATTCACATCATCATACTCATAATACTAAAATAG